TTTTTTGTACTTTTAGAATGTTTGTCACCTTCTTGAATTATGTTTGTCACATTTTCTTTTTTTTTTTTTTCTTTTTTCTTGTCACCTTTTTGAAAATTTTGTCATTTTTGTCACTTTTTATTGTTTGCTATTTTTTTAAAAAAATTCTGTCATTTTCTTGAGTGAAAAACATAGGTTTTCATTGGTGTGTTATCACCTTTTTAAATATTGTTTGTCATTTTTTTTTAAAATTTTGTCATTTTTTTTATTATTTGTTACTTTTAAAAAGTTTATGTCACTTATTTGAGTGACAAACATATGTTTTGATTTGTGCTTTGTCATTTTTTAATATTTATCATTTTTTTAAATTTTTGTCACTCTTTTGAATGTTTGTCACTTCTTTTGAAATTTCTACTACTTTTTTATTGTTTGTTACTTTTTTTCTAAATTTCTGTAACTTTTTTGAGTAACAAACATCACTCTTAATAAAAAAGATATTGTATGTCACTTTTTAATAAAATTATGATATTTAATTTTATACAGTATTATAAGGTTTGAATTCATTTCATATTTAAACTTTGAAAATATAAATACAAATATTTATGAGAAAAATAATATTCGTTGTCACTTCTTTTAAGAAGGCCACAATTTATCTCATTTGAATTTTTTTGAATCAATTAAATAAATGTATACATGTGTATTATATAAAACATTAAGAATTCTACACACTAATTTTTTAATCACTTTCTCGAAACTTTCGTTATTTTTTTGAGTGGCAAAATCACTTTTTAGTAAAAGTGACACTTAATTTTACTAAGTATTTTTTACTTCCAAATACATTTCATATACATTTTCTAAAGATCTTTGATTTTAGGAGTATTTTTGTAATTTGCCCATTTACAATTCCAAAACCAAAGTCTACCGATATACCCATATATGCCAAGCCCACCAATAATACCATAAACTCAACGTATTCATAGTTTCTTTTCAATTTTGTTTGGTGATTGAAAAAAAAAAAAAAAGGAGAA